AAAACAGTATGCTACCGAAACCTCTAAAGAAAATTAACCTAAATTTACTCACTCTATTAAGACGGTTCTCTCCGTTTACGACAAAAGCATTTAACACTTAAAGCAAAGCAATACATTTCAATAACAATGCAATCAATTGTTTTCAAATGCCAATGGATCGAAAGTTAAACAAAGCAATATGAGAGCAAACTGCATTTCAGGTAAAGAACATATTATGGAATCGATAATGTCAGCATACGGGATACTTCAATGGTGATTAATACCACACTACTAATCCAATACTAGACTACAAAAAAAATTACCAAATTTCAAATATCCTTGGGAGGATTACCCACTAGATTTGCTACAAAAAAATTTACGGCGGAATGTTTTCACTACAACAGCTCGCAAATTTAAAGGGTATAGACGGGCCGCTTCTCAAGTTTGTTTTGTTTTTTAATTGTTTGGATGTTATTTTATCTCTTTCTATCCTGTTTTAATCAGTGAAGGAAACTTAAGTAATATCTACCCAAGTTCTCCTAGTCTGAATCCAACTGAATTGATTAATATTTTGTAACTTTAAACAATGAACTCTATGAATTATTATCTAAAACAAAGATATCATTTGTTTCTTTAACATGGAAAGACCTTAAAATCATCGCTGTCATCACGCATAGTTTAGCACCGAGAGGTGACAGAAAGGTACCCTAACGGCGGTCACTGGACCATTTTCCTAATCTTTTAGCAGCAGCCTTCTTTGCAACTTCCTCACTCGGTCCTGCATCTTCAACTCCAAGATCTTCAACCCTCGAGTATTTTTTCTTGTCATAAGCTCCCAGATTAAGTAGTTCCTCATATGTCTGGGGTTGCAATTGAAAGCAAGAAATAAGGGTTGTACACCTGCTACACAGCACTATATTACTATGATGTTAAGCTGAAAAGTAAAGTTACTTTCACAGTGTGTGGTGACCACTTCGGGTTGTCGTTTTGTTACCCGTCAATCATGTAGTTTCCCAGTTAGTAGGTGAGAGAGAGCAGAGCTCGGCACGGTTGTAAAACTTGGAGTTCGACAAATGAACCGTTTCGTAAAATAACACTCTAGCGTGCAGTCAATACACTACACAGTGGACTAAGAACCTCTGCGATTTTAAAAGGGATTTATAAACTGAAAATCGTGAAATGAGCGTAGACGGCATAACGAGCGTGAAAACACCACTGACCAGGGATCTAAATGGTCCTAGTTGAGCCGTTTACAGCGCCATGGGGAGCAAAACCAGTACCATCAAGCATTGCTCCCGAAACTAAATGGTGTCAAAATACTGAAAAATCCACGAGACTTCAAAATTCATAGAATGACAGCAAGTTTTAAATTCTTAAAACAAACCTCTTCATGAATGTATTTGTCCATTCTTTGTCGCAGGTTTTCAAATGGAGGACGGAAGTCAGGGTTAAAATTCCAACACCGTTTCATCATATCATGCCTGAAATTAAACAAGGATGGTCAATTCTTAACTACGTTTTTTGGACTATGCGAAGAATTGCAAGAAGTTTCTTTTACTGGAACCCTTTTAACGAAAATAATGGTTTAGATTTGTTTTGGGTCATCGGACATATCGGCACTATTTCACTCGCTCTGATCTCGTCGAAATACGTAGACACACATTATCACAGCTGAATACCTTATGCTCTTAGTTCACACTTTTAAAAGAAAACAGCTTTTACATCCATTGGTTAACTATTCCACTGCAAAAAAGTCTACAAGAAGAACGTTAATTGTGATGTAGTGTGTTGAAGTTTAGGCTCTACATTGGAAAACATCGATATCGCACCAGAGAGATACAACTCACAGTTTTTTATCAACATGATCAGGCTTTGGCAGCTGATATCCTTTTGTGACCTCTGCAACCACCCTGCCTTCTGACCATCCATCGTATGGAATTCCTCCTGTTAAGGCATAAGGACGTGTGCATATGATATTTAAAAATTATTCGCCGAAGGCGAGGTGAATATCGTCGAATAATCCCCGAGACGAAGTCTAGGGGATTATTCGACAATATTCTCTGAACCTGAGGCGAATAACTGTTTTAGTATAATTTCAGAGCTGAACAACAGAGAAATTTCTAAAATAACATTTTAGTAACATTTAATAACATTTTATTTTAACATTTTATATAAACCGCGTGGAGCGGTTTATATAGCGTAATATAAGGAACCGCTCGACCAATCAGATTGCTGAAAACTCTTTGCTCAGCTCTGAAACTATACTAATACTAAGTATATCACTAATAAAGTTGTTGAAATTCTAGTCAGTGAGCCATAATTTTAATAATTTATTACAATTGTAAACATCTATGAGGTCAAATAAGAGTGCATATAAACATGTTCCACGAAATTGCTGTGGCTGAGACGTCGCGCTCCTTTTCGACATCAAAAAAGTCCGCATTTAATATAGCTTGATGATGCCCAAATCTAAATCTTCCTTAATCTTGCATATACATTTACATAGCTTGATGATGCTCAAATACAAATTTTGCTGAGTCAATGTAGTTTAAAGTTTCTTCGTTTTGGTTCGGTTTTGATGGTAGTCTCTAACAAGGGAACACTATGGAAGCCTTCTACTTCTTGTTTCATTTCATCTCATGAGATTAACTATCGACAAATAGCTTGCTACATATTAAAATGAAAACAGAGTTAACGAGATTTGATTTTCAGGTGTAAAAAGCAGATGATCTTTACTTAACACGGGAGTTCTCCTAAAAACGACAACTGTAGTGTATTGACTGCACGCTAGAGTGTTACTTTACGAAGCGGTTTAATTGTTGAACTCTAAGTTTGTTTTTACAACCGTGCCGAGCTCCGCTCTCTCTTTCTTACTAACTGGGAAATTACATGATTGACGGGTAACAAAACAACAACCGGAAGCGGTCACTACAACAACTGTCGTACTTTTTGCCTGGAGGTTACACCAATGGACCGGAACTCATTAATAGGTTCATTTTTACAAGAGTAGTTAGACGGCTTGATCAGTCTTACAAGACTGGGACACTAATGAACTAACTTAATGCAAGAGATTGTAAACCATCTATATTATCTTGTTTAAGGACATTTTCAGGAATGAAAGGCGTGGAAAAAAGTAAAAACAAACCTTTATTATAAATCTATCTTATTAACCAAGCGCGAGGGCCGTACTGAGAGAATATCGGTCCGAGGTCTTGACAGTACGGACCGAGCGCAGCGAGGTCCTTACAAGAAAGACCGAGGGCCGATATTCTTCTAGTACGGTCCCGAGCAAGCTTGGTTAATAAGAGATTTATTACACGACTGAAGTTCAAACGAACACAAGTGCGGCATCATTCGGGACCATTCGGGACAGTGCCCGGTCCAATACTGAGAGAATATTGACCGGCAATAGAGCATTTTGATTGGTTGATTTTAGTTATTGGACCTCTGACTGCCCGAGTCGTGTAATAAATATTCTTATTGAACTTAGTTTGGCTTACCAAGGGTAACTATCTCATACAGAACGATTCCATAGGACCACCTGGTGAACATATCAGAAATATTCCACAGTTAGTGCCGAGTGAATTTTGGATGTGAAGTAATCGCAAAAAAAATCAAATTGGGTGATCATTTCGTTAAGGTGATGGAAGAATATACACGATACATACACATCACTCAAAGTGGAAAGTCCNCATACATATCTATAACCGCAGTCCAAAATATATGAACTTCATATATTCATCGTATCTGATTAAAACTTCTCTTTAAACTATCATTATAATAATGTTATTTAATTTGTTTTGTGTTGGTTTGTGACTGTTTTTTGTTATTTTTGCTTTACATCTTTTGTGATAATTTTCTTCAATTGTTCCTGAGTATCTCTTATTTTGCAAAGAAAATTCAGTACTAGCGCAAACAAAAACATTGTGAAATGTTGAACACCAAAAGAATAGTCGGTCCTCCTTGTACTTCATTGTATGAGAAAATAAAAAGTAGCATTTCAGTAGTTGTCAATTTTTTCTGCACAGAAGATGAGACAAGTAGGAGAACAACGGCCAACGAAAATGAGAAAAGCAAAAGAGCTTAGATTTGTTGGGCCCTTGAACGGCGAGATGTGTTAGAACTGATGATTTTGGAGAATATAAGTGTATGATCAAATTAAGACAAAGACTTAGTTAAGACGGCCGCAATGGGAAAGGCACATACGGGAGGTTTTAATCACATCAAAATGATGGATTAGTGCAGAATAAAGAAAGTATCCAAAGGAAACTTCTTTCGGATCAATGCATACAACCTCCAATCGAATGAGTCGGAGACATGAGGAAAAGAATAAACTCAAATCAAGAGAATATGAGAGGACTGAAGGGGGCAACTGAAGGGGGCAACTGAGTAATAGCGATAGTAACGACTGAAGCTATTTATAGCATTTGGCGAGAAAAGATGTCTGCTTCCCCAGACCTTTATTTTACTTTAAAAATTATCTCCCTTCTTCTGCAAAGTCATATTTTACAAAATATGAAGCTACATAATATAATTGTGTAAAAATGTAACAACAAAAATAAATTTGCCACTCTCCTAAAAGTAGCTTTCAAGCAGCCCTATTAGAAAAGAGAAAACATCTTTCCTTTCGCGAGACTTTCTACAAACAACCTCAGTGAAATTTATATACCACGATGTTTAGCGTTTTACTTTGTCTTTTTCCCTTGTTTTAAGTCAATGTGAGCTATGAAAACCATGTTGGTGGTCGAGCTAAGTTAATTTCATGCTGAGAAAATGCTGGCGTTTACAGCTTGTTTCTAGAAAGCTCCATAATAAAGCAATAACAACAACAACAAAAAGCATTTCCTACCTTTTTGGCATTTCCATGGCCATATTTAAAGCTTTGATATGCCATGCCAAAGTCGGTCACTTTGCAAACATAGTTGTTATCGAGGAGAATGTTTCGGGCCGCAAGGTCACGATGGATGATCTACCAGGAGACAAAGATCCATGACGTGAAAGCTTCTAAATTATTTGATTTAA